TGTCTCAGAAACAGGAAAAATTCTGATATTTCACCCAGTTCTACGTAGTAGATGTAAATATTGGAATCTGGGGATCTGTTCTATTAGGGGTCTGTGGAATAATACAGTTGGAGGATACCCACCCTTTTTTTTTCATTGTCGAGAATGGCGGGTTTGCCCAAATAAAATTGGGAGCCAACTCAATTTTAAGACGAAAGTTGGACTGAGAATGTACAAAAAGTGTAACGGAACATGGGTAAATAATTTAGCTCGAAATGTGGCTGCAACATGCAGTTTATCACATTCTGGTATACCTGGGTGAAAGACTTTTCCTGAAGAAGCGGTAAAATAACCACTATCCTTGAAGTGTTGTGGTAAAGTGGTGAAATTTCCAGCATTCACCCTCCAGTAGGTAAGTTTTTTGTTGTAAACAAGCTTTGTTGTGTCTGGTCTCCTGCCAGTAAGGAATGAAATTCGGCTGGGACCACAAACAGCTTGCTGTGAAGCGGCTTTGGTAAAGCGAATCGAACGTTGTGCGAGCTGGTCAAGGTTCGGAGTTTTTACCACAGTATTCCCATAGCTGCCCAGCGCTTGTCTAAAATCGTCGGCTACTATAAGGAGAACGTTCATTTTATCTTGCGGGGATCCATTCGATGTACAGATCATTAAATACGTTATAAGAAATAATAGAGTTGCAAAGTGAAACTGTCTAGGTATCATGCTGATTGAGGCGTACACACCAAAACATGGAATGACCTACAACAACCTTTTTTATAACAACTTTTTAATTAATTTTTTCATAAATTTGTTTAAAATTATTTTTTAACTAATTTTTTTTAAAAAATAATTTCTTAAATAGTTTATCATCTAATTTTTAATTACTTTTTTCAATTATTTTTTAAATAAGTTCTTTAATTCTTTTTGAAACAATTTTTTAAAAATTTTTTTAATCAAATTTCTTGAACAATTTTTAAGATTATTTTTAATATATTTTTAAAACCTTTTTTCAATTTTTTTAATTGATATTTTAATTGGTTTTTTCGTCAATTTTTAATACTTTTAAAAATTATTCTCTTTTAATTATTTTAAAAATTATTTTCTAAATAATTTTGAAACTATTTTTTGAACAATTTTTAAAAAATTCTTAATTCACAAAATACAATTGATAAAATGAATATACGAAATGGCAATGGCATTAATGTTTTAAACAACTTTTAAACAATTTTTTATTTCTTTTTCAAAAATTTTCAAATTTTGGAAATAGTTTTTAAGTTAATTTTTAAATTGAATTTTTTAAAAAAATTTTCTTATTAATTTTTTTACCAGTTTTTAATTTCTTTTAAAACTAAATTTTAAATTATTTTCTGATTATCTTCTCTTAACTATTTTTAATAATTTTTTCAAATTATTTTTTATCAATATTTTAATTATTTTTTAAACAATTTTCAAGACTTTTTTAGTTTGTTTTTTACAAATTTTTTCAAATTATTTTTTAAATTGTTTTTTAAAAATGTTAAAATTTTTTTAACTTCTTAAATCAATTTTTTAAATGAATTTTGAATATGTTATTTTTTAACAGTTTTTTAAAAATTTTTAAATTTGTTTTTAACAATTTTTATGATTATTTATTTTTTAATAATTTTTTTAAAATTTTCAATATTTTTTATTGTCTTTTATTTATTTATTTTTTCATAATTAAAAAAAAATTGTTTTGTTCATTTTGTGATAATTTTTAAAATAATTTCTTTTAAAACTGATCTAGAGATTAGCACTTTGTGAACGGTAGTTGTAAAACTTCTTTATTCTCCGACGCGTTTGTTTTGGCTGTCGTGAACTTCTTCAGGGAGTTTTACAAGTTAAAACTAAACGCCTGTATTTATAAGCCATAGTTAGTGGCTACACGGTGGCCAGTTACCATAAATAAAGGCTTGGCCGGGCATAGGAACTAGTTGTAAAAAAAAATTTGAAAATTTTGTGGGCATGGTGAGAAAGATATTTTGGTGGCTACGGTTTTAGCCAACACCATGGCCCCCAAAATAAGCCCAATACCAAGCACGACAGCAACCCACGTCTAAGACGACGTGAACACTGAAAGGCTAACCAACGCCAAAGGTCAAGGTAGAGTTCTAGCAAACCTCAAACACCTTCAAAAAACATCCGAGGCAAAGGTTCAGGCCACGTAAAGTAGACAAACGTTCTGCATTCAAGAAATGGTGGTTTAAGATGGCCAACCGACCACAATTCGCCATAGCTGGTAAGATCTTAAGGGCCTTGGAAAATACAACCGGCTAGAGGTACAGCTCGCATATTTAGTCGACATTGCCCAGTTTTTGATACGGTTTGCCTCACATTTAACTTTTCTGTACTTCAAATTTGTGTTACACTCCTTTGAATCACACACACCAGCTTACACAAGAACTATTTTAGTAGTATTACATAATAAATACGTGACTTGATGAAATGTTCTGGAAAGTTCTACGCTATGCAAGTCAGCATGACTTAGCAGTCTGGAAATTTCTAGAAGATCATATTTACAACAACTACTCATAACACAGTCTGCTTTGCATTTTACTTTTTGGCATTCCACTTTAGTCTTATACTACATGGCACAGGACATATGCTATGAACATCAAATGACTCTGGATAGGGAACCAGCTGAGACAAAAATAAACATTATTAGGCAATAAGAAAAGGGTTTCTGGTTGGTGTTCAAATAAGAAAGGTTTGATTTCTTTTTAATAATAGCAATTTTTATTTAAAAAATACAAGAAATAACACAGGCACAGGCTAATCTCATTTATTTAATTGTATAAATTCTGTATAAATACGGCAGATGACCATGTTATATTTTCAATTATAATAAAGTTCGGATATAACGCGCGCTGTCATTGGTTTAAAGAGCGTGCTCTATGAGAGTATAGAGCACAGAGCTGAGCTAAAGCTGTCACGCCATCTGTCAAATTGTACTATACGGTTAAGAATATATGAAAGTCATATATTTGGTAGTTCAAATTGTACTATGTTAAACCTTTTCCAGGACTTCTTTTAGCTTTTTTCCGATAATTGAAAGTGAAATTTCGGAACAAGCGAGCCGGCAAGTAGCAACAGAAGAACCAAACAAAGGTTTGTAAACATACCAGGCGCCGTAATTTACGCTGTTAAAACGTGAGCAGATACGAAAATCCTCAAAGGAAAAACAAAATAGACATTCTGAGTTTTAAAGATTTCACGCTGAGTTAGATTGCAAGCTTACGTAAGGTAATAAAAATCAAACACAGCTAACACTCGTATAGTATATAAAGTTCAGTGTTCAAAAACAAAACATAACAAAACAGAAATAATGAAAAATATAATAAAACTGGCATAAATGTTAAAATTCATACTGATCATGACGGTGTCCGAGCGTAAATGATCATGCTGAAGTTCATCGTGGCGATCTCCGGTCATCACCGTAAAGCAAGCCTCAGAAACTACATCGACCACCCTTCGAGTGAAAAAATAAGGGCTTGCTCTGATATCCTTTCCGATGCGTTGAGTGGAAAGTCACATAAGTCACCGCAGCCGAGTTTTGCGGCGCTGTCATCCCGAGCGCTCTTCATGTTCCGTTGAATTCGGCTGTCATTCATTCTAAAAATTCTCGCCTTGAACTGTTTGTTTTCTACCTCGTCAAGTGAAAAGACTCGCGTGTTTTTATGAGCCATAATTCGGCTGAAGGTCACTGAACATTTCACTTCAAGATGCTGTATTAGAGGCTTAAAAACTTCAGGCAAAAGTGTTAAATTCGACCTGCCGAACTATTTTAGTTTATAGAGTATCGTAGAATGTGAACTTTGATGGTTTGACACTTTTGACAGCTTTAGTCTTGTACAGCCAATCAGATTATTTGAACCATTCTAACAGGGATTCTGATTGGCTTATTGTAGCGTGCTTTATGCGAGTATAGAGCATGCTGACGACACTGTTGTTCGCTTTGGAAATAACGTTTGTTTTGAAAATTGAAATTAATGCTTGGGGAATTTAACGGACTTCGTCTCGTGTTTCTCCCTACACTTCTTTCGTGCTCTAGCCGCTTCCTGCGTGCTTTATAATATAACAGAGCACAGTCAAGGCTTCTCTGTTTGTTAACCCTTTCACTCCCAAGATCTAATTAGTAACTCTCCGTACTATCTGCCATACAATTCTTATGATGTTAGTTCAGAGAATTTGGTATTGGATCAACTAATCATCCCATGATTGACATTCTTCTCTATTCTCATCACTTGCCTGCTTGATATTGTATTGATATTGCAAGGAGAAATTCTGTCTTGGTCACTTGTGGGAGTGAAAGGGTTAAGAATAACATGCCTTAAAGTTTTCACAGTCATACGTGCTGTTAAATATCATTGATGATACAAAAGGAAAATGTCAATTTGGTGAATTAAAGTCATGTTATCCTATGACTACCTAAAGATGACTTGATTGTCGTATCTCAGACAATGGTTGGCCTTGTCAACAGTACTTCTGATCAAACACAAATATCATAAAAATAGAGACTCTTCCGTTCTAATAAACTCCACTCTAAGAAATCTTTCAAAGAAATCGGAACAAATCAATACCAGCATGTCATAGGTTCCTAAAGCCGATTCACTCGATCTATTTCGCGTTTGGGACTCGTAAGGATGCTGCTTGTAAGTGCGGTAATGTTAGAGAATTTATAAGCTACATGCATCTTGCGAGATTTGCAAGTTCTGTTTATCACACACTGTTTCAAATGTCACTGTTCTTTTCGTAGTTTCCTATTCTCAGTCAATTTAATTTTTTTCTCTAAATATAAATTATTATAAAACTGTTTTGTTTTCTTTGCTGTGCACTCGCTCCGCAGCCCGATTTCAAGCAGTTTTAGATGGTTAGGGTTGCTCGGGTTCCCTGAAACACATCACCCCTGTTGTTATATAACGCAACCTCATCAAGTTTCCGGCTACCTGCTTGGTGTACCGTCGACCTCTGTCAGACGTTGAAAAAAGGAGACCCTTTGTTTCTTCTTCATGTCAACACAGCAAAATACTTTCTTTAGAAACTAATGACCTCGTTGAGTTACATTGTTTGCATACATTTCCTAGTCAGTCTATTGCTTCTGACATTCTTGGAATTGATTATCGGAAAAAAGTTCCTTTATTTAAAGTTGATCGTTAGCTTTAAGTGTAGAAATTACATTATTTTCTGAAAAAAATGCACGGGAAAGCTTCCCATTTTGTAAAACAATGAGTAATTCATGCATTAACGTGATTGTTCTCCGGTAAAGCATTTCTCCAGCCTTTCCTCAGTTGATCTGACAACTCCTGGACCAGATCTGACAGATCTGGTAAGGAAGCAACATTCAGGTCATCCCGAGGATCTATGTACAATTCCCTGGCATGTTTGTTCGACCAGTTCCCCTTCTGTGTTTCATGGTCATATTGTATCCACTCAGTGTAATGAAAACGGCTTGTCTGCATGGAGTATCCCATAATTGTAATCTCAGAGGGCCTAGGCTCGCACGTGTTTTCTCGTGGTTCATCTGATGGCCTGAGCAGAAGATCAAGTTTGAGATTATCACTGTAACTTATGTTTTTGGAGTTGAATCCAAAATCAATAATGAAAACTAATAGAACACAAAAAGGTTTAATTTTAACCCTTAACGCCCTAGCATCAGTATGCATATTCTCTCTACTGTTTTCCAGACATTTCCCTGGGTGCTGACAAGGAGAATTTGTTTAACAATCGAGAGCTTCTTTAGTGAACATTTCCCCTATTCTTGCGACCTTAATGTTTGATTCAGGGGTGATAATGTAAGGAGACATTTCAATGCTAGTCACTCTTGGAGGTCAGAGGGCTAAGCACTAAAAAAAGTGAACTAGAGAGCTATGACCCTTTCATTCAAAATATTTAATTTTCCACACTCTTCCCTTCAATTCCTTTTTAATTTGGTGAAATAACTGGGTGTTAGATCAGTATGACACCCAAGTTGGGTTTAGCAGATACACGTACCTCTGTGTTCCACATTTTTGCAACCAGTTGGCTGGCTAATATCTCAAAAATCTTAAGCAGAAGTTATATTTTAATAACTTCTAGAATGAAAAGGATTAAACTACCACGAGTCTTTGCTGTAATTTCCTATACCTTCAATATGACGATTGATGCCCGCAATGGCAGCATTAATGTTTTAAACAACTTTTAAACAAACAATCTTTGATTTATTTTTCAAAAATTTTCAAATTTTATAAATTGTTTTAAGTTAATTTTTAAATAAAATTTTTTCAAAAAATTTTCTAATTAATTTTTTAACAGTTTTTAATTTTTTTTAAAACTTATTTTTTAATAATTTTCTGATTATTTTCTTTTAACTATTTTTAGTAATTTTTTCAAATTATTTTATCAAAATTTAATTATTTTTTAAACAATTTTCAAGACATTTTTTAATTTGTTTTTAACAAATTTTTTCCAATTATTTTTTTAATTATTTTTTAAAAATTTTAAATTTTTTTTAACTTCTTAAATTAATTTTTTAAATGAATTTTAAATATGTTATTTTTTTAAACAGTTTTTTATAAAATTTTAAAATTTGTTTTTAAACAATTTTTATGATTAATTTTTTTAATAATTTTTTTAAATTTTTAATAATTTTTTGTCATCTTTTATTTATTTCATAATTTTAAAAAACATTGTTTTTGTTAATTTTGTAATAATTTTAAAAATAATTTATTTTAAAACTGATCAAGAGAGTAGGATTGAACTAAAGGATTTGAAGGAAAAGGATTGAACTACCTTGAGTCTGCTGCAATTTCCTGTACCTTCAATATGACGATTGATTCATTATCTTTTTGGAAAGGCATTTTTACAGTAGTATTATTTTACTGCTAAATCAATCAAAATGAATCTTTGTTTTTACCTTGGATATTGGCTAAAGATGGCCTTTTTCCATGGCATGCTTAGATTCTTCAAAAGAGGAGCAAAGCTGAGACCCTCTGAGCACAGAGTGATGTTTGATGAGTCATCTGGGCAAAGATCTGCAAAAAGGTTAAGAACTTCAAATAGTTTTTTGATCCTATAACCATCTATAAAGTCAGTTTTACAAGGATTCTTTCTCAAAGTTTTCTCCTGAAATCTTGATGTTCATTATCTCCCCCAAGCAGGGTTCAAATTTCCCACCCCTCAGCAGAGACGACAGCCAAAGTGGGTTGCTTGGAAGAACCAGTGGGTTGCTTGGAAAGGGGGGGAGGCATGAGGGATGTTGAGGCCTTAAATTGGTTGGTGCATTATGAACCACTTGTCTATATAACTAAACATAATCTATTCAGGTGATCAGAAGTAGGTGCTTACCTGGCACTTTCAGTTCAGCCAGTTCTGCAAGAGTTGGAAACAAGTCCACTAATTCTACAAGAGCATCAGATACAATTCCTGAACCACCATGGTCTCTGTTGTCAGTTACACCAGGCATATGGATCATAAGGGGCACATTTGTGGCTATTCTGAAGTTACTGAACTTTGACCACTCCTGATGTTCACCCAATGCCCAACCTGCAATCAAGTAGTTTTTGGTTTTAATAATTTCAATTTAAATCATACAGTGAATTCTCTTATTAAATTGCAGTGTTGACAGTGTCCCTGTTCCTAGTATCATGTATCAACAAAGTGAAAGTGCACTGATAAGAAATAAATCCTTTTTACTTGTCCATACGGAGGTTATTTGAGGGCAGAACTTATTCAGTGGTCACATGTATGCAAGAACAGTGAAGCAAAAGTGTGGTCCTGCTTCACACAAGATTCAGATCAGTATCAACAAAAACACTGAATGAAACAAATAAAAAACCCAGTTAGAATCAGCAGATTGTCTAAAAAAAGATTATTAGTTCCCCTATTCATTGTCCATGGCCCTTCTTCCACGGTCCTTCTAAGTTGGAAGGAAATATGTCAGATTCACTCTCTTTAATGAGTGAATACTACTTGGCTGACAGGTAAGTCTGTTTTGGCAGGACAACAAAAAAGGTTTTTTTAAATCTCTACTACTAATCCTCCTAGGGGATCACTTTTGATTCTTTAACCCTTTCACTCCCAAGATCTCATTAGTAATTCTCCTTAAAGTCTGTTATAGAATTCTTATGATGTTAGTTCTGAGAATTTGGTATTGAATCAATTAATACTCCCCTAACTGATATTACTTGTCTGTTTGATATTGTATTGATTTAAATGGTGAGGCGAAATTCTGTCTTGGTCACACATGGGAGTTAAAGGGTTAATTCCCAAGATCTGATTGTTAATTCTCCCTTCTAGCTGCTGCACATTTCCTTGTAAGTTAGTTACAGGAATTTGGGGTCAAATTAAAACAATAACTTCTACCTGGTAGGTTAAAGTATTGTCATTTCCTGTGTGCTGGATAATGTTGGATATCATGGGGAGAAGTTACGTGTTAATCACCACTGGGTTTTCAAGGATGAAATACGTGCAAATTAGTGAAAGGTTAAATAATAACAATGGATAATTTATAATAATGTGAGACAACTTCAAACCACAGTCACATGAGCAATCTGTGAGAGCAGTATTTCCCAAAAATAAAGCTATTAGTTCTAAGCTTGTCTTTCCCTTTATGGAGTTAAAAACCAAAGAGGCCCAAGCCTTTATCTTACCATGATCTCCAATGAAGCTCACAATTGTATTGCCTGTAAGACCATACTCATCTAAAGCTATGAGTAACTGTCCGACTAGACTGTCCATATAAGTTGTTGCAGCATAGTAACTTTGTATGATCTTTTTGGCATAAAAATCTGGCATTCGTTCATATGGGAAACTGAGATTAAGTGCTGCAATGTCATCTCTCCATCGCAGATCAGTCCATGGTTCATATGCCACTGGCGGCAAATCAAAGGGAAGAAGGGGATCTGCTGCTACGTGAATCTCCTCTATGGGGTACATGTCAAGGAACTGTTTGGGAAATTTCAGAGGGATGTGTGGCTTGTGGTAGCCAACAGCCAGGAAGAACGGCTGATTGTTGTTGTTTGAATCAGTGTGATTTTTTAAGAAATTTAAAGCATATTGAGTGCTCTGAATGTCTGGCAATGTTCTCTCTGGTTGCTTTTCAACATCAACAGGACATACAATATTGGTGTGTAGTCTACCATCTGCACTTGGACATACCTATTAAGAGGACAAAAAAATGAATAAATAAAGGAAGAAAGAAAGAAAGTGTGCAGAAATGACTTGTGAATAATAGTGTAACTAGAATGTCATTAGTAATCTAATATATCAAGACAGGACTACTCCTCTTGAGGGAATATTAAGCAACCTACAGGAAATTTTGATGCCTTGAGGTCTGAAAAGACAAGGTGAAGGATTGCAGCAATATTTTTTGCTACATCAGACATGAAGAATCCTTATGATGGTCTTTGTTCCTGCCACAAATGTTATCGAGAGTTACAACCAGTTTATGCCTCTGAACATAAAGATAACAATGATTTTCCTTCCTCTTTCTGAGAAATATTTGGAGTCCTAATTATAGAGGGTTCCAACATTCAGCAATTCTAAACAAACTCACCGCTGCATTTTTGTATGTGTGAGTTGAAGCATGATAAGGTGGAATGGTCCAACTATATGGATAATCATCTGTAAAGTTTGATGCTCTTCCTGAAACAAACAACCAGGGTACAATGTAAATATTGATTTAAATTTATAAAGAATGTATATGCCATGCATGGATAAAAATTTGATCTTCCATTGTTGATATTATCTGATGTAAGTAACACAATATGATAGATCTGTTTATTATGTGGACACAAAATGAAATGTTCAATTGAGGGAAGTGTTGGTATAAAACCTGTGGTTTCTATGCTGACATTCTTCTCTTGAAAAAAACAATAGAAATTTTATGTGACTGTTGCAAGTTATCCTACAGTACCATTTCATAATTATACATAATGGTTTCAGCTGAAGCCTTAAGCTACTGTTGAATAAGCTCCAAGGCTTTTGCCAATCCACCTCATCAACAGGGATAAAAAGTATTCAGTAATAATTAGCTACATATGCTGGGGTAGGTAGGTAATTTAACTCTTTAAACCCTAAGAGCAACCAGCATCTAGTTTGTCCTCACAATGATACTGCTGAATCATTCATTTGAGATCATGAGAATATAAGAGACAATCATCAACTAAAGCTCTTGATTGTTGAACAAATTCTCCTTGTCAGCACCTTAGGAAAAGTATATATAGCAGTATGGAGAACATGTATACTGATGTTAGGGTGTAAAGGGTTCATGGTAGACAATACTAATGAGAAAAGTAGGCAAAACCATTAACCCTTTACACCTGAACATCAGTATGCATATTCTCCATACTGTTGTCTATACATTTCCTAATGTGCTGGCAAGGAGAATTTGTTTAACAATCAAGAGGTTCTTCAGTTTATTATCATTTCTTTTATTCTCATGATCTTAATGTTTGATTAAGGGGTGATATTGAAAGAAGAAATTAGATGCTAGCCACTCTCAGGGATTGAAGTGTTAAAGAAATAAATACGGCGGTGCTATTCTTTATACTGCGTGCAGCGAAGACGTCTTGTTTCAGAAACAGGAAAAATTCTGATATTTCACCCAGTTCTACGTGGTAGATGTAAATATTGGAATCTGGGCATCTGTTCTATTAGGAGTCTGTGGAATAATACAGTTGGAGGATACCCAGGCCCAAATAAAATTGGGAGCCAACTCAACTTCAAGACGAAAGTTGGAATGGGAATGCGAAAAAAGTGTAACTTAGTTGGAATGGGAATGCGCAAAAAGTGTAACTTAGAACATGGAGAAATGATTTCGCTCGAAATGTGGCTGCAACATGCGGTTTATCACATTCTGGTATACCTGGGTGAAAGACTTTTCCTGCGGAAGCGGTAAAATAACCACTATCCTTGAAGTGTTGTGGTAAAGAGGTGAAATTTCCAGCATTCACCCTCCAGTAGGTAGCTTTTTCGTTGGAAAAAAGCTTTGTTGTGTCCGGTCTCCTGCCAGTAAGGAATGAAATTCGGCTGGGAGCACAAACAGCTTGCTGCGAAGCAGCTGTGGTAAAGCGAATCGAACGTTGTGCGAGCTTGTCAAGGTTCGGGGTCTGTACTACAGTATTCCCATAGCTGCCTAGCGTTGGTCTCAGATCGTCGGCTACTATAAAAAGAACGTTCATTTTATCTTGAGGGAATCCATCCGATGTACAGATCATTAAATACGTCATGAGAAAGCTAGGAAAACCAGCTAATAAAGTTGCAAAGTGAAACTGTCTAAGTTCCATGTTGATGGTTGTACCCGGCACTGGAAAGACAATACATGGGAGGCAAAGGGGAGAGGCCCTGGAAATGAGATTGTTGGCGTGACGGTCACGTAAATATGCACTTAGAAATGGTGTAACCGGAAATAATATTGGCGAATAAAATTGTAACTGATCATTTTCAATTGTTGTAATTTTGCCAAAACATATGTTTTCTGCTGTCGCAATATCAAGGTAAAACGTTCCCAATATGGAAGTAGGTGGAGGAAACGTTTACGCAACTCAGGAATAGGTATTAAATACGCTTTAATAAGTAGTTGGTGTGAAGTAAGTGCGATCAAACATGGAGGACGTCGAGTACAAGGGAACAGTAAAACTTCTCGCTAAAGCACAAGTTCCTTTTTACTTCAAAACTAACGACAAAGTTGCTTGGATAATACGCGAAGATATAAACCTTGCAGTTATTGTACGCACCTCGGATCGGCTGGAAGATGATTATTCACCAGGAGCTACGAAAAGAGTCGACGTCTGTTTAAAATGTCTGAACTTGCAAAGCGGAGATATTGAAAGTGAATTTTCTTATAACTTGGTCTTTCGTTGCACTGTGCTTGAAATTGTTTGCGATTTAACTGCGACTTGCGATTATCCTTTGTTGAACGTTTTCGCTCGTTTGGAAGATTTTCGAATTTGTGTTCTTGTGTTCTCATGCCCTGACTCCGATCACAAAGATGAAAAGCTCCATAAAGAAATGGAACTGATATTAGACAAGTGTAGGCGACAGAATAGCAATAATTTTCATTGGGGAGGGAGTGTCAACTTCATGAAAGTGTCAGCGTTGCGGAGGGGTCGCTACTGGCTCGGTGTAATTTTAAATGGCGGGCAATTCATATTGTTGGAAATCGCAGTCGAAGAGAAGAGATTAGCTGAGCGGCATCGTTTTCAAATCCATTGTGTGCGTCACATCAGAAGTGATGAAATGGAGTTAATGAATCATCCATTCTCGTGGAAGTTGCTTGATTTTAGCCCTGATCAGAAGAGTATAGCAATCATAGGCAGAGGTTCCTACGTGTTTTTCATTGGTCTGGTTTTCATCGACGTGGAGTCTTTCACAGTTATTGCCGAGACACAGCTCAAAGGCTATCACTTTGTAGCTGACGCAAAATATTCTAAAAGTGGAAATTTCTTTTTTGCACTGTGCAGTGGTCAACGAATAAAAATGCCTTCAAACGATGAAAATCAATCAGTGATGGATTTTGAAGACTGTAAGTCAGTGTTAATTTGGGACACTTGTGGAAATCTTCTGCAGAAAGTGAACATTGAAGGACATTTGGCATCTTCAGTGTATGAGTTCTTTCTATCGCCTTATGATAACTATATTGTGATTCCCCAAAGTGGAACTGACTCTAATAAGAGACAATTTGCAGTCTTTTTGAAGCATGAAGTCAATCTTTCAAAGCAGGAGGCTGAATTTGATGCTGAAGAACTTTTACAAATGGATCATAGGAAAGGAACAGACAATTACACAAGTTGTACAATTTCTCCAAATGGACATCAGCTTCTGGTCACTCACTGTTGTAATGTGAACATGGAAGATCGAAGCCAAGACATCTCTAATCTGTTAGTATTCAAAATGAATGACTCCCCTGCTAAGTTAAGGGTTCTTTGCCGCATGGCAATAAAGAAAAACTGTGTTGTACAAAACCTAAGGCAATATGATGTCCCTAAGAAAATCTTGTCATATTTAAATTGGTGTTAAATTATTTGAACAAGGAAAAATGTTTGATTTGTATCTCAGTTGATACTCAATCAAAAATGGCTTTGTAATTCACCCTTTCACTCCCAAGATCTCATCAGCAATTCTCCTTACATTCTGCCATACAATTATTATGGCATTAGTTCTGAGAATTCTATAATTTATTTGTTTTTTTTAATCTCATCACTTGTCTGCTTGATATTGTAGGGAGAAATTATGTCTTAGTCACTTGTGGGTGTAAAGGGTTAACCTATAGTCATACGACAGTCAGGAAATCATTGGCTGATTGTTGGCTAATAAGTGAATGAGAATCAGCCAA